ACCAAATTGATTTATGTGATCACAACTGACTACGGCCTTTAACAATGGTCACCATATCAGCATTAGTAGAATCTACGTCTACGTTGCTGCTACACCGCAGTCTACGCAAATTCAATAATTACTTTTATTCATTTAATTACTGTTAACAAAGTGTTTGAATAACTAAGTAAGATTTTTAATTTAATCCTAAACAATGGAACGTAATCTAGATGATATTTAAATATACAAAGGAATGTTTAATTCACAAAGAGTCGTGATAATAATTTAACTAACAAATTAGAAGAAATCTTACCCTGCTTTAAGTCAAATTACCATAATTGCTAATCAAATGTTGTAGGAGCGGCCGCGACGCAGCCTCTACTCTAATTACGAATTCTAATTTCCTCTCTTGTTTCACGGGCCTTTTGAATTTGTAAATTATTGCCTTTGCTTCGAGCTATCTAATAAATACATACCGTACAAAACGCTTTTAAACATAATTAAAAATCATCGCCTTTTAAACAGAATCATCACAACTACATATACTTTATTTTAAACTAGCGGTTGTCCGCGACTTTGTCAAAACAGAATTTAAAAAGTAGCCTATAATATAACCGCATCTTTCAGCTTCCTTGTAAAGTTCCATCAAAATCAGTCAAGCCGTTCCGGAGATTATCAGGAACAGACGCGGCCTTGTAGACAGACATACAGACAGTTAAACAACGCAAATACATCATGGGTACTTAATATATTTTTTTTCGATATAACAAACACACACTCTAATTTTATTAATATGTACATATAAGTACTACACAAGCTTTATATCTTTTAAATAGAATGTTATATTTTATTATTATATATCTTTAGTATCAAATTTTTTACATGATTTTGTATGTAAAGCAAGATATTAAAAGTCTTTGATGGTCTTAGAATCAACTCCCTATAATATCAATAATATTTGTGGACATTTTAAATGAACATAAGCGTGTCGAATATTAACACGAGCCGATTATATTAACGACGTAAACTTGTTTGAAGTCTTGGTAATATTTTTTCACGAAGAATATCAATGTTATTAAAATTAAAGATTCTAAGATCGTCACACACATATATACTTAATTCTCAAACAAGTCTACTTGGAAAGGACCCAATTAAACGATTTCGGCGGGTTTGAATAGCGCACAGAATTTGTTATAGGTAGGGTAGGTAGATAGGTAAATGTAGACGTGTTTACGGAAACCTCCGGCAAATATTATCGCGAGACGGCGCGATCTAATATTCAGACGGCGCGCCGAGGGGGGTGGGCGCGGGACGTAACCCTCTCCAAGTTTCAAGCCCTTCCCTTTGCACGCCCTACACTAATTACGTTTAGAGTTCTTAAGCGAAATTACTTAGGCCCCTCGCCACCCGCCGCCGCCTCGCGACCCCCTCCCGGAAATGAGGCGCGCTGGAAAAACAAGAGAAAAGCGTTATACCTATAAGGGGCCCGCTGTCTCTCTGAACGTCCCAAATCTGGGCAATCTCTAAAAGATGTTTATGTAATGATTTTTTTCTTCATTTTCGCGAGCGTTCTGTTCATGAGCGGTTGCTAAGTGAAAAGCAATTAAAGCACGGGCGAGCGATCTCCCCCCAACCCCCCGAGGAGGCCACAACGCCCTCCTAGTCTTATTCAATCAACAAAAATAGAATTATAATAAACACGATGTTTCTTGATTTATTCAAACTATGCAACCCATGAAAATCGTTATATAAATAACACTTGATAATTTTAGCTGGATGCGTGCAGTAACCGTTTAGATTAAGACCTTAAACTAAATTTTGTGATACTGCAAAATAGGTACCAATTTTTTATACGCGACAGTGTTTTCTTTGACATTATCCACGTAACCACAAAACGGGTCACTGGTCCAATCCGCTCAGGAAGACCCATAAACAAGAAACTGACTAACCACAAAACGAGTCGTTTCCGATTTTTCTAAGGCACAGAGGGCGCAGTTTAATTTCCTAATTTCTAAACAAGTTCCAAAGTAAGGCAGCTAGGGGCTCATCAAGCAATCGGAAGCTCCGCCAGCGAACATTCGAGTGTTGTCGCAGCCACAACAGCCCTGGATAATTTCCTGTTTAACTTGGACGGCTTTGAACATTTGTAAATTGATTTTTTGTAAGTTATTTAACGCCGCTGAGTGCAAATTACATTATGGAGTAATGTATATATGTTATTTTCCCTCAAATGTTATATATAAATGTTTTTATAGCAAAGATTTATCAAACTTTCACATACATACCATTTCCCGGCTGATATAACCGCGTCTTTAAATCTTAGTAGTTGGTGGATTTAGATTAATATACATTTCACAATAACTGGCACCTCAATAACGCGAGTATAAACGTATTTATTCTCATCTAAAACAAAAACAATTCAAAATATTATTTCGTTTACATCTCTTAACGGGAGCAAAAGTTTACAGGCAATTAAAAAATTTCCCCGTTTAAATTAGATAAAACCGGTCTCTAAAGTTGGCAATAAAGAAAGTAATTGCGGCTGTTTAATGAGATTTAAATAATTAATAAGCAAACAAAATTGTTTTTTTTTCCAGCGTGCTACAGCGGTCTGTGGGCAGAGGCAAAGGCAGAGAGTCATAATTGCGAGGCCGCGTGACTTCGCACCCTACACCGCTTTCAACAATATTATTCACCTCCGAGGGAGCAGTGAACGTCATAAATAAGTTTTAATTGGTTATTTATGAAATTTCCTCTGTACTGGTAATATAAAATAACACATACATACTTAATGATATGTATAATATGTGTGATTAATGTCGTGTTACCTCGGATTGCCTGTAAATGTTATTTGTTTCGATGGGTAGGTTATTTTATCTCAGAACATACTGTCACATAAAGTTATTTGATGTAAGTTAACGAAAAAAATATCGTCATTTTTTGTACCTAATCAAAATCAAACGAATAAAATACAAAGCAGTGGTTTTAGGGAGTTTTGCTTTAACTTTTATTGGGCTTTAGAATTTTCAAGAGTATTTGATTTGATATCAATGCGACGACCGTTACTTGTAATGTCCACATGACCGCTCGCTAAAGTTGCATTTCTTACGTTAATAATAAATAACTTTAACGAAAAACTTGTTACTTTTTGCCTAAAATTCGTTTCATTGGTTTTGTATAATAAAATCGTATTATCGCACGATCTCAACGGAATATGGTAAAAGGAGCGATTTGGATATTCAAATGATTGACATCTCGCCGGGCGGTCAACCGCCAGTTCTTTGCTTATGTCGGCGTTTCGTTAATTTCTCCCTATCGCTCCCTTGGCTTCCGTCATCCATTGTTACACTCTGACCACGATAAAGCCGATTGTGATCGATTCCAGATTTCAACTCGGATACTTAAACATTACATTATTGTACTTTCGCAACGGCTTTTTAATTGTTACTTTAGAATTGCTACGTCACATACATTTGCATCATATAAGGAGCCAAGATTCTTTGAAAGTTATGGGAAAAATTCAATTCCGTGTTTTAAAAAGTTACAAGTTCTGAATTAGCTTTACCAAACGTTACTCTCGTGGCGTTATAGATAAAAATAGAAAAAGATAGATAATATCTTTTATTATTATACAAAAAAATATACAAACACTAAAACAAATTTAGTTGGAGGAACAACAAAAGAAAAGATGATTAAAATAACTAATTATTTATATCGGTAAGTGTTCTTTTTTATTCTCCAGATTTGAAAAGATCTTGATCATTGAGTATATTATTAGAATAATTGGGATTTTCTTACCGTCATAATTCATAACCTAAAATATGGTAGCGCGTAAATTCATGTGATTTAAAAGAAGCGCGAAAACACTAGAACTGTCAAATTTAATAAATAGCCGTTCTAATTTTACGAAGACTGTTAATGAATAATTTTCTTAATTTAACATTCACTTATTGTTCGACAGCAATGGAACTTGCAACAGGAGTTGATAGTGGCGTGCGCCCGCAGATGGCAAATAAATCGTTTGCCTCGTGCTGCCGCGCGCGCCACCCCAGCTTCAACAGAAGCGCATTGCATTGTCGCCACACAAAAAACTCACCCAGATTGTTTACCTCACTTTTTACCTTTTTTATAACTCCTGTTACCGCCTTTATGAGTATTTTCGTCGCAGCGCACGCGGCACATTCCTTTGTACGGTACTCGTTGATGCGTTACACGTCTCTATTATACTCCACGATGTGGGCAATTCGTTATTAAATGTAGATAATCGGCGGATTTATCGAACCCTCTTTATTTTTTAATTTGTTGACGCACTCGTTAATTTTGTGACAATTTAATAGTTTTTATATATTTTTTTAAATTATTTTATCGGAACTAAAAAAATAAGTATCAACACAGGTCCCAGGTGTTACCACAAGTCTCTTGGTTTATATGTTCACTCATTTTTCTGTGCCATTTATGTAGTAACTGTTGTATAGGGATTATCTTACTAATATTATAAATGCGAATGTATAGAAGGATGGATGGATGGGTGTTTGTTTAATGGTATCTCCAGAACGGCATAACGGATCTCGATGAAATTTGGTATACATATAGAACACAGTCGGGAAGAACACATAGGCTACTAATGCCGCGTCGAATGCACGACGTCGCGGGCATTAGCTAGTTTAAAATAAAATAAGCAAGAATTCAATTAAATTCTTTATTTTAATAAATTAGAAAAGCATTTTAGGACCATTCGATTTGAGCACATTGGTCTTTACTTTGTTAAAATACATAAAGGCATTGTGATTACTCTTACTAATACTGGAAACAAGATCTCAAATGAAGTAGCAATGTAAGCTCTAGATTCAGACAAAAATGAAAAAAAAATACGATGAAATACTATTGCTTAAAATCTTTTTCGAACATATAAAAAATATTATATTACAGTTTATAAATAATTGGATGACAAATATCGAAATTTAAGTATTTTGTATATCTCCAACAATTAAACCATTTCTTTTAAAAATGCAGATTCGGAATTATGGTACCCTGCAATGAATTTGACACGTCGGGAACATATTCCTGCGCTCCACGTGCCAACTCGAGTACCGCATATGTTATTTCCCTAGACAAATAAATACATAACTATGTCATCAGCAGGTGTTGAGCGAGGCCAAGTATTCGTTGTATTTCTTTTCCTGCGCCTGCTGCAGCTTCTGCAACTTCTTTAGAAGCCCTTTGCTCAATTCTTTGCCTTCGTGGTCATGAGTGGGAAGACCCTGCAAAATACGTTTAAATTGGTAATTCCATCTTACATTTCTCTTACATTTCACTCTTTCTGCATATTACAAGTAAAATGTTTAGAAGCATGTAAATATTTTTTTAATTTTAAATATTATAACAAGTTAAAAATTTTGGAGGTCTTTTTTATATGAAAAAGGAAAACTGACCTTGTCGTCAAACTTTGAGTATTTGTCTGCTTCTCGTTTAAACATCTCACTAGGTGGTATTTTCTTCTGTTCTTCTTTCGCGCGCTGCGCTTCTAATAACTCTTGTTTCTTCTTCTGCTTCTCTGCCTCTATTCTCTTCTTCTCTTCTCTTTCTTTCATTAATTCTTCTTTGCTCACTAATTTGACGACGGTGCGATCTAAAATACATCCAAAGTTAAAGATGAGACTTCTTTTTGAAATATTAAAACTACATGTAAATCGCAAGTAATTATCAAATACAACTAAATAAGGACATTCAAACAGTGTCCAACGCAACATATTACAATGTTTACTACGTAGAAGATATTGAAACTAAAATTAATCCACCAATATACTGAGAGCAAAATAAAGCGACATATAAAAAATAACATTAGGCCACTGTGCTATATTATTGATTGTTTGTAAAGCTTTGTTTAATAAATGTGATACAACTGACCAGTTCTATCCTCGAGCCGCACGCCCAGCTCGGGCAGCACGCTGTCACGCAGCACGTCGCAGAGCGCCAGCACGTCGGTGGCGGCGGCTGCGCGCGCTGCCTCGCGCACCTGTGCACGGAACGTGCCCAGCGCCTCCAAGTACGGCATCACGGCCGCTTCCAACTACATTCATTGGTTTACATTCATAACATAGCATTAAGAATGTACTAGATCTACCTAACAGTGAAAAAAACGGCCTTTAACAGTACTATGAGGAATAATCTATACATAGAAAACTAGAACAGGAGAAAAGGACAATTAAACATTTGCTTTTGTTTACAAGTGAACTTACACCGAGTCCATCAGCATCTCCAACAGGGAAGCCTATCCCTCCGCGTGGCCCCTCCACTGCACCGAACAAGTGCAGGATGTCTGTGACGTAGCGCGCGGCCGCCGCCAGCAGCGGGGCGGGGCGCGGCGGCGTCACACGCAAGTACACGTGGCATGCAGTCACCAGCTCCCGCAGCGCGTCTATTGCGCTACGAGTGTCGATGTTGTCTAGAAACGTACACAATACTATAATATAAAACAAGCTGTGGCCATAAAACTAACGTAATTTCTGTGTTCTTCCATAGTAAGTTCTACATTTACGCTAAATTTCATCGAGATCCATGCAGCTGTTCTGGAGATACTTTCTAACAAACATCCATCTATCCAGACATTCGCATTTATAATATTACTAAGATAGTAAGATACTTAAAATAATACTAGAAGTATAGTATTAAACGTAGTAAACGATTTTTCTGTCCACCTATGAGTATGAACAATATAAGTCTGATCGAGATTCATTACACAAGCTAGACATAATATACAGTTATAAATAACTAGTTATATTTAAATTAGTACATCCGACTGAGTGTGAAGAATGCACCTCTGTCTAGACAGAAATATACATAATTTGTAGATACAAATAGTCATAGTGGAATTCTCACACACTAGCAAAATACAGTCAGCGTCATATAGATCGTAACAGACAAGATATGCAAATATATAGGTACACCAAAAGTAATCAATTATATCGGTATATTTATGGGCACCTTGAATGTACTCATATATTTGACGCTGTGTATGTACCGATGTTTTTGAGCACGGTGAATGTATCTATTAATTTGAGGACTTTTGTTGTACCGATATAATTGATTACTTTTGATGTACCTATATCTTTGCATATCTTGTCTGTTACGATCTATATGACGCTGACTGTACATTACCCTTATACCAATCGGGAAATAACAGTAGTATTAATTTTATTTGTTAAAAAAATACACACAAGCTATAATTGACAAGAACCAAGGTTATAAAATTTAAACATACCACACAATGCAGCGTGCACTTGCTCCTTAACAGTACTCAACTTAGCAGCTAGTTGTTGTTCTTCCTGCCCCCACTGACCTCCGCAACCTTCGTGATATCCACTTCTCAACGCATCTTTTACAGTGAGGAAGAATTCCTATTAAGAAAAAAAACTTTGAATCTCTGAACATCATTGGTTCTAACGTTTCTAATATGATCTTCTAAAAAAGCATTCAAACTCACATTAAATAGTTTTTCAATCTGTATCGCCATTTCCATAGTATTGTCAGAATAATCGAGGGTTTCCTTCCAGCCGTGTAATAAAAAGGCTATACGTAACTGACGCGCGGTATGTCTCTTCAACGCGTCAGATATTGTGACGAAATTCTTCAATGACTTGGACATTTTGCAGCCGGCGATGGTCAAATGACCCGTGTGTAAGAAGTAGTTTACCCAACCACCTTTATCAAAATGTGCCTAGAATATAACTACTGTATTAAATTTTATATAATCTGTAATCTTAGGGTTATGTATATGTAATCGGAATGCTGTGTTAGGACCTATTTATGTTAATCTTAAATAATTATTATAAAACTAGCTGTCGCCCGCAACTCCGGCCGTGTGGAAAGAAAAAAAACTTAATTAGTTCCCGGCAATTATTCGAATTTTTCTCACTTTTTAAACCTTTTCTAGACCTCAACAATCATTTGAAGATAAATCCGTTCAGCCGTTCTCGAGTTTTAGCGAGACTAACAAACAGCAATTGATTTTTATATATATAAATAAGATATATTAAAACATTGATTAGAAATTTTAAAGGCACATAAACGAAGACCTCAATTACCTCACTTTGGGCCAATTCGTTATCGTGATGAGGAAATTTCAAGTCAACACCACCAGTGTGTATGTCCAACTTGTCGCCGCAGACATCAGCCGCCATGGCGGAGCACTCGATGTGCCAGCCGGGCCGGCCCGCACCCCACGGGGACTCCCACGACGGCTCGCCCGCCTTACTGCTCTTCCACAAAGCAAAGTCATTGGCAGAACGCTTCTCAACTGTGTCATCGGTTAGATCACCTGAAAAAATAATCATAATGATGTATTAAATTTAATATCAAACTTTTAATAAAAAAGTTTTTTTTTCATATTTAATTTCCTAATAAGTAATATGTACCAGGTTTGTGGTTCTTTGATCGATTCTAAATATATTTTAAAAAGTATATTACCTTCTCCTTCTTGTAAAGATTTAGTATCACCATATGCTTCAGGGACAAGCCGTGCATAATGATGTTTTTCTTTACTATCAAACTCGCTCACATTAAAGTAAACTGAACCATTTGACTCATATGCTAGACCATTGTCTATTATTTTCTGTATAAATGTTATAATCTGTGGTATGTATTCACTCACTCTTGTCAGTACATCTGGTGGTAAAACCTTAGAATATAAACATAAAAAATAGATCTTAAGTGACAGTAAGATAAAAAAATAATAAACATTTTATTAAGTAAATTGCCTCTAAGTCAATTTTGTCATTTCCAATATTTACAAATATGCAAGTATTTCGGAATTTAAGCAATCTTACTTTTTACTAATATTATAAATGCGAGAATTTGGATGTATGGATGGATGATTGTTAGAACAATACTTACAATCATATAACAGAATGGTTCAACTGATCTTGCTGAAATTTGGCAATAATGAAGAACATAGCCTAGAAGAACACATAGGTTACTTACTAGTTTTTTTAAATGTGCGGATGAAGTAGCAGCTGACATGAAAAATCATTTCTAATCTTAAAGATTATGAAGTTAACAGTATGAAATGAAATATGATATTATTATGTTACTAAACTGTGTATTTTTAAGCCACTTACATTTAATGCTTTCATATCCTTATGAAATTCATTTTCCCAATACCTTGGCAGGGCTGTAAATATTGCATTATCTTTGACAGTAGAGCCAAGCTTTTTATCCAGCCATTCGGATATTGGATCTTTTGCTGATTTTAATAGATCACATTTTGCTTTGATAATATCTTCATCACTTTTACTTTCCACTGCCTGTTTCAATGATTTCACAGCAGATGCAACACTGCAAAAATATTTACAAGTTTATTTTATTAAAAATAATTTGTTATAAATATGTCATGTACAAAGTAATATGTCCAATAAATTGAAATGAAATGAACCAAATCTACTACTTAAGTATACAATGGGAAAGACATATTTTTTTATTATTTTAACAATACTTTCAGGAATTAATGTACAATTTATTCACTTTGCTCTCTTTATTAGTACTGTGTTGGAACAGGACAAAGCCCTTTTATTTGAAACAACATTGTCATTTTGAAAATCACTGATATTTTTATAGTTAATGTGTCAAATAAGTCAATCATTTATATCAAAGATTGTATCCAGAAATATTTTTCCATTTCGTTAAAACTTCAATGGTTCATACTTATGATATTATGAATTTCTTATTTGGATTTAACAATTTGTTTGTAATGACTTGTAATTTTATTACCAATAAATATATATTTCTATGTAACAATAAATAAAACTGCTTACTTATCTAACATTTTCTGCATAGTGTTCTTTTTAACTGGGTCTCCGGTGTCTTTGACCACTTGCTCATAGTAATCTACAACAGATGTTGCATCATCTATTGTGTCACTTAGAGGTTTAGCTTCATTTATATATTTATCATACAAAAAATTCTGTCTTGCTCTTTTTATTATTTTATCATCAATATCAGTAATATTCATAACATATAATATGTCATATCCAAAATAGTTTGTCATAATTCTTCTTAATATATCAAAAGATATATATGACCTGTAAATGAATAAATACTGTTTTTAAAATAAAATGTTTATGAAATAGCTAAAAAGTAATCCGTATGGTTACAAAATATTAATTTCCATACATGTTTCTCAAAAGTGTAAGTAGAGGAAACAAATGAGAATAATATAATCCACTCTTAGCCAGTCGCGACACACGCACGATGATACAACCATATGTTGATAATTGTTTCGAATTTTAGTCAAAATTTAGAGGGTAATAAACAATCAATTTTTTCAAATGACAATGAAATAATAGTGGCATTTTTGTGAACTTTTTTCTGAACCCGCAATAGTGGCTGTATTTAAGTACGTTTATAGCATACCTGGCATGACCCATGTGGGAGGCATCATACACTGTTGGCCCGCAACTGTACCAATTAACCTTATTTCCTTTAGAGCAAACAAATACTTCCTTCTGTCGTGTTAAACTGTTGAATAGTTTTAACACAGGTCTTTCCGCCGCCGAGGGTGAGGACCAGATAGGTTGAGATCTTTTAGACATTTTTATACACTGAAAAATTTCAACGTAACCTAAACTTAAAGCTGTTAAATTTTAACTGAAATTCTCACCTCGATTTGCACGTAAAGAGAATACTTACGGTTATAAGGACAAGGTAAACCCTATGAGACTATGAGTAAATCAATTGCCACGTATAAAATAATAAAATTTCCGAGATAAACTTACTTGCATTGCAAGTGCAACCGACACATTGACATTGACATTTGTCAATATGACAGTAACACCAAGTAACACTTTATATTCAAATTTAAAACGCTATGGCCAAACCACGGACTAAATCCTTCCTTCAGATCCTTCTTCAAACATATTCAAACTGATTCTTTGAATAGGCATTAATTGGTCAGTAGGTCCATTTCGCTTTTAGTAATCGTTATTTAAAATTAAGTTGCTGCGTTTCTTTCATTTTTACAATCTTTTATAATACCCAGGTCACTGGCGACTTTAATTGGCAAATTTGTATATTCATAAAAGAACGTACGAAATAAAAGTCAACGAATATTGCAGAATTTCAAAGCACTTCTTCATATGGAAAAATTAATTAAAAAAGTATACATTTAAATATTTTATCATTTACTACAAGAAAGGTATATTATATTTTACTTAAGTGTTCAATACAAAAAAATCGATATCCACTGTTGTGTACGACATATTTTCCTTTATTGCGCCAGTCTTTAAAAACCTGCTGAATACTGGATCTATTATTATTTATTATGCCAATTGGGTTGAAAAATCGACGTCTTTAGCTCACAAAATAAAAATTGAGTTTTTAGAAAGACTTAATGCGAGCAGCTTATAACTCAATTGTGGTTGCTAAAAAATAAAATTCGCAAATGAATTTAAATCTTATGACACTTAACGCATTAGAGTTATATTCGTTCGTACTAAATAAGAGATTAGGATGATAGTTCAGTGCATAGTTAAGATTTGTTGATAATCTCAGGTGTTGTGGTGTGTGTATGATAATAATACTATATGGACACCTATGTCAAGTAGTTATGTAGTTATGTATTTGTACATAAATAACAACGCGTTTATCCACTGAACTACTTTGTACGATTTACTACGTTCTTGTCTACTTTTATATTGTTTTGATTACTTTTACGGCTAAATATTAGTCAACATGGCTCTCTGTGTCTGCAAATGCCTAAATGTTATGTTAGAAAGTGAGCAAATCGAAGATAATGTCGATATTGGGAAACTGGATTTATCTGCGGTGGAACAAAGAGATATTTTTTTCAGTGAGGTACATTTGGTAAACATGAATTAACCTTGAATATAAAAGAGTATCGCTTTAAGTGTGTCATTAATTGTGATTGATTCCGTATTTTTATAGGTTTAAGTATCTAAAATATAAAGTATGGATGTAGTTTACGGTAAACTGTTAATTTCGTTCATAAACAAAGGTTATTTTCTGATTTGTATGTTCCGGCTTTATAATAACAGATAAAATATCACGTATAACAGAAGCTTATGTAATATCTTCAATCTATAACAACAATAATTTTTGATCTCATTGATAAATCTTTGAAAGATTAGACTTTCATTTTCTTCACCAAATTAATGGCACATGCCCAAAGTATAACATTAAATGCATATGTATACATATAAATATCTCATGATCTATCATCTTATAAAATAAATAATACATACATATATGTATATGATAATGTATACTGTTTTTATCCACTTAATGTGCTCTGCAAGTTTGCTTTAATTGGCATTTTCTTCAATTGGCAAAGGTCTAAGGCATACCGAAACATAGAACTTTAAAATCTTCCCATTTCTTTGTCAGGTCAGAATTATATCTAATAAAAGTTTTTTTTACTTTTATAACAATAATGTGTATTTTCATTTTCAGAAATTATTGTCATCTTCAATAAATGAAATAAAGATCCATGTGGCACAACCAGCACTAGTGGGACATCAGTCTGTTGGTCGCTGGACAATTGAGTCTTGCCTCGGCTGCGCACAAACAACACATGCCATATCCCATGACAGATCTATTGTATTAGTATCTAAATCAACTCAAGTAAGTAGCAATGCTTTCAAACATATTTAAACTTTATGGTAGCTCGTGGTTAGCCGCAACCACATGTCTTGGACTATGACAAAGCAAGTTCAATGGGTTGTCCTACTCCACTATCCAATATGTTCTGCAAAGATTGTCATGTAAAATTGCCAGCCAACATAATATTGATGACACTATACTATATAAACCATTTTGAATATGTTTATTACAATTGGTGACTTTTACATAGTTTTTAGACTTTAAGTATGTATCAGAAATGTACTTAAACTTTTTAAACATGCTTGTGAATATTTGCCAGAAAATTGAATTGAAACTCATTGTGTTTGTATTATCATTGTTTATGCGATATTCCATTAAAAATTATGATAATGTGAGTGTTGTTAATTATGTCAAGTTTGAGCTATTGAGCGAAATGTTGGTATGACAAGTAGCATTTGGCATTATTTGTTGCTCAAAGTTGTTTTTAACTGTGGTATTGAAATACTAAACAACTGTTAACATTGCACAAAATTATAATGTTATTGAATTGCATTTTGTAATTACATAATCCTTTCTAAGCAATTTGTTCAAAACTGCATTGTAAATGCAACTCTACAACAACTCTAAAATCTACAACAGCATATAGGTGTCAAATTTGTCAATATAACCCTTTTTACTACGTAACCAAAACTGACATTAAAAATGTGTCATTATTTTGATATTAAGTTTAAAAATATGCATATATCTATCTTCAGACAACACTGGAGAGGGTGAATAATTTGAAAAAGTCACCAAATTTCTCGCCTGTATTTAACATGCTAGTGCCGGAGGTGACAAATGATGTTGAAATGAAAGAGAATGTTGATACAAATAATGTTAAAAAACAAAACAACTCATTCCCACCAACACTGCAAGCTATCGGTACACTCAGCAAACAGCTCAGTCAGACATTGCAGTCACAGCTGGAAGCTGTAGAGGAAACCGTCCGACAGTTCAGAGATCAAAAGTATGCAGAGTTTGAGGCATACAGAGAAAGGGCACAAAGGGATCATAAAATTTTATCTAGGTATGCATAATACAAACAGTTTGTTATTTATTTTAAAAACAGATTGATGAGGCTTTATACAAATCACATCACCTTTAATTGTTTAAATAATCTTTGACATCAGCTAGTGTTACTCGATGACCTTTGTCTGTAGATGTTTTCAGTATTCTTTTTAATGTAATTAAAAAAAAATCATTATATTCTGATAATGATAAAGATCGTATTATAACAAATGGTATAAAACAAATTAAAAATCTTTTCACTTTGTCATTTCAGTATTGTAAGCAAAGCTCGTCGTAACGTTGAGAACGACAATTGGAGAACGGACTCCAGCCTGGACAACGGCCCGCCCTCACCGCTACTGCCTCCACAACAGAGACGAAGACTGTCATCAATCAAAGATGCCAAAAAAATACCACAAAATATTTCTAAGGTAAATTCAAATCTATGTTAAGTGCAAATAGTGTGAGAGGAAAGAGGCCTGTTGAAAACCATCACAGGGAGAGCAGAGGTCGCCCCTGTATCAGCTGAGCTGGCCACTTTTTACAACATTATTAATTTTTTTGTATTCATATTAGGTCATAAGTTAATTTATTCTTTTTTTTGTGTAGAAATAAACATTTATTCTATTTTTTTCTATTCTATTTATGTATTCTACATGTCATATCAGTTTGATATAACATGTCACTGTCTCTACAAATTCTTTTCCCTACACATAAGAAAATAAGAAAGTGTATAAATTGCAACTCAAGGAAAAAAGCCATTTTCATTCAATGTCTGAAGCAACTAAGACTACCATTGAATTTGTTTACTAATGTAAGACATTAATTGTAGTTTTTTTTGTTCAATGTATGACATTTAAGGTACCTGGAAGGATAAATATCATTGAAAGGTTCTTTAATGTCATTGCAGACGAATACTCAGCTGTCACATGAAGAGGACTCTCTGGATGCGGAGGACATCTTCGACTTGGATGGAATGGACTCGCAGCACAACATGATCTCGGATCAAGATGATTATGATTCGGATCGTAAGTAGCAATATGTAACATTTGAAATGCCCTACTATTATTTTTCTTTTTTTGGGTCTTTTGTTTACTGAATTAAATATGCCAGTACTAAAATATTAATTTGTGGTCTTGAATAATTTTAATATTGAGGAGTAGTAATAGTACATACTGTGCAAATCTTCTGTAGAGATAAGGGCAAGTTGAGGATGATGATAGTGTCAAATAAATGTGTGATTTTTTAAAGTTTAATATAATTAGCAAGAATTTTCTCTATATGTGTACTGTGTTCTGAATTTCAGAAGGCAGCAACGACGAGGGCATCCATATTACGCGGCCGCGCGGCATGGCGCCCGCCAACATCGCGCGCTCGCTACCCATCACCGTGCCCAACTTCACCATGGACCGCACACCAGTTAATGAAATTGATGACTATGTTCGTATTAGTTTACCTATCAATAATTTTAAGAATTTGCAAGTTATATAATAAGTATTATTATTAGTAGTCTGAACAGTGCAATGCATTATATGTACATTGTGGAATTTAGATAGCAATATGGACAAAAGAATTAGGCAATATATTTATGTTGTATTGTCAGGAGGAGCCGCAGGACATTGCAGCGAGCATCAAGGCGCTGGCGCGCTCTGTGCACGGAGACGTGTTCGAGCTGCCGCGTCCGCGCTTCTCCACGCAGATCTAACTCGCCCCGCCCCCGCACCAGACCCCGCCCCCGCGACTCCGCCCTTCCTCTGTCAGCCGTTCGTATTTGTAGCATGTAAGGACAACTCCTACTCCACAAAATCGAATCTTTTATACATGTCTCGGTGTTGTGCATAGAATGTGTGGTTCGATATGTCCGAGTTGTAATCGTGTGGAACATTGGTGCTTAAGATATGTGATCGAAGTGGCCCTAAGTCGCCAGCTCCTCGCGGACGGTGTATCGCGAGTGACATCCGCAGACTATTTGATTTTAATGAATATTTTATTACTCACTGACAAAAAAATGTTTATAATATATCATAGAATTTCAATAATATTGACAGGGTGATTCGATGAATAACACAACTATCATTTGATGTTAGTAAGTCGTACACACAATCGTAGTTCGTAAGCGAGAGGCTATGAAATGTTGTTATTGTATTAATTGTAGAAAGTCAACCAAAAAAAATTTTTTTTTGTTTAACATTTGTGAATCAATCCGCAGATGAAAAGTACTGATTTGCCTTAAAACTATTTCTGACATGTAATTGTGTGGAAGCATTATTTCACTGGATCAACGGTGAGCCAGTTTGCGGAATGTCAACGAGCATTTTTCAGTGTAAGATTATGTTAGTCTAAAAAGTTAAGTAAAATGTGTGTCTTTTCGCCATTAAATTTAAGAACATTTTGCAAATATTGTATTGCGTAAATAATAATTTTGTATTGAGTCTTCAGGTGCTATCTTTTGCCGTAAGTTGTAGGTACTTTGTGTAGTTATGTTTTTTGATATACACACATTTGTCAAAAAGAATGAGTCATTTTTTGTATTTAGTATGAAAGATGTCTCATTTAGGTATTGCTTATGATTTGTTTTTGTAAGAGATTGCATATGTAAGGGTAAGAAATGACTTGTATTGTCGGAATGCTTCGTGGCAGTAACGTAAGGCGTCAATTAATCGTGTAAGAAGAGGAGGAGGTGAGATGTTGATCTGGTATAATGTTGCAGCGTGCATGTGTTTGCCCGCGGCAGTAGAATTTGTTAAAAATATATGTATACACGTTTAAATATATAACTTTACATCTAAGTCATATCTCTGTTAATAGGAACCATAGTGTTTCCTATTAATTTTTTACGTCGTGTTATCTTAATGCTAAGTGAAAATGTACAAAAAATATTAAAACTTGCATTTCTTGCTAGTCTCCTAGGGTCACGAATAATCAATGAATTTGTTCAGTTTGTGGCAACTCGTAGCGTATGAGTTTGAAATCATGGATTCGTATAGTACATAGTTTATTCTATCCTATATGAGTAATGATCATATAAGAATGCCTTTATTTTTGTACCCGATGTTTTGAATGTTTATGTAGACGTGACGAATGGGATCGGGAGTGGGCTTACTGGATGATGATATGCTGTGAAGAGGGAAACAGTGTCTTCCACCAGCACTGCTCTATAAGAGTTGGAACAGTCTTCGTATTGTGATGCAGATCAGTTAGTTTTATTGTAAGTGAAACATGATACTAATAAAACTATATTATTATTGTTTCTTTGGTGTGACGATCATGAGATGGACTTTGAATGTAAAGAGGTTTAGTGATTATGCAATAAAATTTTAATGTGATACCGATTTTTTATTTCAGTAGCCACTATTAATCACATTTCTTTCTTTCCAAATCTAGAGATTTTCCTGGAGATAAAACTACTTTTAGGTTTTGTATGTAATCAATATTCAATTCTTTTTTTCCAAACTACAAGAGGTTGCTTAGCTACTTCGGCGACTTCGGAACGTTCGCGACATCATAATATAAAAAAAGAAAAAATTTAAAAAAGGTGATAAAAATTAGAGTATAATTGTGCGATCTATGGTTTTTTGACCATAAATATCTCGATTAAAAAAACCGTTGTCATGGTTACAGCGTCACAACAAATGTGTTGGTCGAAATACGAATGTCTTTTTCAACATAACTGCGCTGCGTTCTTTAAAAGTTTTAAAATAGTGCTAAAATTAAAATGTTAGGTTCACGGTATACTACGTCTCGTCATGGTTTCGATTCAAAGCCTCGTACTGCGTTGGTGATAGACGATGAAGATGATTTGTACAGTGGATTTAATGAGGTGGCTCCGGCTCTGGACACGCGAACGCTACGTGAGGACCAAACCTTCCAGCAAGTTGTGCGGACAGCCGGCATCGGCAGGCAAATGACCAGCCGCGTGGGGACAGGAGTAAGAACATGGCATATTCAGATTAATTAAAACTAATTGATATAAATCGTCGCTAAGCAGGGCCACTTATTTACCACTAGCTTTCGGACGTGACTCAATACGCGTGAAAAAAAAAATTGTAGCCTATGTTTTCTTCTAGACTATGTTCTACATCACTGCCAAATTTCGAGCAAGATCCATTGAACGGTTCTAGAGATACCTGATAACAAACATGCATCCATCCATCCATCCTTTTAAACTTTTGCATTTATAATATTAGTAAGAAGTAAGATTCGATTCTGAGTAGGCATGCTTTGTATCCTCATATTTATTTATCACACGAAATAGAAAGAATGATTAAAAGCGTATTTTAAATTATTTTGCTTAAAAAGTAACAACTTTCAAAAACCATTCATTCGACGTTTAAATGTTGATTGCCTTTACAATATAAATTTAGGTAGAAATACTAATGATAAAGTTTTCTTACTTACTTGTACGCCTGACATACTCGTATTATAAACAAGAAAACTCTGATAGAGTTACGTCATCATATACCTTTTAAGTGCGTGTGTAGTAAGAAAAGGATTCAAAACATGATAATATGCAACTGATAAACCGTGACCTAATATAATGTATGGCTCACAAATACGAACTGTAGCTACTAAAACAACGATCTGTAAACATCAAACAAAACATATTTACGATGCTATTAAATCTCATTTCCGAAATAATCAACATCATAAAATAGGAATTGTTAACGAATTTAAAGGTAAGTTTTGATGCTAAAAGCCTCGCATAGATTAGCATTTTCTCAAAAGAAAGTCTAAGAAGTGTGAAATAAATTTCATTAATTTGATATGTAGCAGTAAACTACATCGTTTATCGAAAAAAGATTTTAACATGACTAAAGGCTGGTTATAAAACATCGTCATAAAAAGCTAACCCAATTTTCTTGTAACTACCTACTGTTACTGTCAACTTTTTTTCCTGTACATTATTTTCAAAATTTTCGTTCCTGCATCATTAATCAATAAAATCAAGTGTTCGTTATTCTGTTTAATTCTTAGGCATTTGGTATGGGCACGGGCAGAATCCGCGGGTCGTCCCGAGCGGGCACCGCGACGCGGCCCATGACTGCGCTACGAGCGGCCGGATACACATCCGCGACTAGAGATACGCCATTGAAAGATGACCGTCGGGAAGACAGGTTACAATTTTTTTATTTTCTCATTGAAATCATTAAAAGCTGTTTGAATAAAAATTTATTTACTTGATAATTATGTAACTATTCTAGCATTGAAGACAAAATTCAGCAAATGGAGCGACGTATAATGACATTAGTTGAGGAATCTTGCATGATGAGCGCAAGGCGGGAGGAGGACGATGAAGCGGCTTCAAAAAGAGAATATGACTTAGCTCAAGTTAGTATTACAAGTTAAAATAATGTAAACTTTTATATTGGCTAACATTAACTATTGTATTCTTTATTTACCAAACTGTCCAGGCTATCTAATGTAGCTACTAGCTGTTCTAAATTTGATTGATTGATTTTGGAGTTTGATAAATGAAAATCATGGTAAGAGTTGATGAATAAATCAGCTAAGCCGTGGTCCATAATAAGAATAAGTACCTTAACTAAGAAATATATTAATATTATAAAATTACAGGCGTTGTCAAAAGCGCAAGAGGCGTCGGCGTTGGAGCGTCAGTTGATACGAATGCAAGAGCAAGCCAACATGGGCGACACGCATAATTTAGACCTCACATTTGCGGTACAATTTTGTCTATATAATTATTTGCACTTATTTTAAAGGTTAAAGAACCTACCAAAATGTATCAACTGCTACAAATCTAACACTTGGAGAAGGTCTACCGACTTTAATAAAAATGAATAATTCAGAAAGGTTTAGTTAACAGTTTCTTACTGTTTACATTTTTGTAGACATTATTGTTAATCTGTGTATTTAATTTAAGGTTTTATGCAACCTGGCTGGACAATATGCCCTCAACGAAATGTACACAGAAGCTCTTAATACATACCAATTGCTGACGAGAAATAAATTATTTCCTCACGCCAATCGACTTAAGGTAATGTATCCGCTTACCCACGAATTCTCGCCATATTGCGGAAAAATATGGAACTTATTTCCTACGCTAATTTTTTTTGCCGATTGACGTCATTACGTTGTTACCAGGTGAACATGGGCAACATTTACTTCAAAATGGGCGAACATCCTAAAGCACTGAAACTGTACAGAATGGCTTTAGATCAAACCCCTACAGCGGAAAAAGATTTGAGGTAAGATAAAAATGTTGTATGTATTATACTAAAATTGATTGTAAGTAGTATTAGATGTAATTTTACAACAGTTTCCTGATTGTAGGATGAAAGTGATGCATAATATAGGTCTGCTGTTAGTTCGTATGGGCAAATTTCGCGATGCAGTTACCAATTTCCAACACATTATGCACGAGCAAGGCGATTTTCAAACAGGTAATGTTGCGTTGGCAAACAAGACAGCGTTGCTTTGTTAATTATTACATACATTAATATTACATAATACCACCGTATATTTACCAGGTCTGCACCTGGTGCTATGCTCTGTGGCTCTGAACGACGCCGAAGCGGGCAAGGCCGCCTTCCACGCCATGCTAGATGTTGAGCCCGCAACTTACCACCACGATATCCCTATCGATGACGTACGTACGTTTATATTATTCACATACAACCTTGTATTTTTATAGGAAAATCGTTATTTTTGTTAAATAAAAATGTTGTTTGCTCTACATTAGGAAAATGACGCCTACGAATGCGTACTACGTGACGTGGTGCGCGGGGACCGGCTGGCGCGATGGTCACGACGCGCCGCCGCGCACGCCGAGCGCTGCCTCGCGATAGCTGCCGCCGCGCTCTCCGGCCCCGCCGCCAGGGACGATGATGTCAGGTACTGTCACATATCTCAATGTACTCATTTCAACCAACCTTTCAAAAAAAATGGCATTTTAAGAAAAAGGGAACAATAATCGTCAAGAGAATAAAATGAAATATACCTTAGGTTATTGAATTGACCAATTATATACATCCACCGTCTTCGGTAACCCCGAAAATTTGAAATTTAAATCTAGCTTTTATGTTGAAAAAAATGCCCAATAGCGCATCGTGGTGTGCCGAAGCACTCCGCGGGTACTCCGGCGGGGGTGCGGGCGCGCGGCTGGAGTTGGGCGGGGCGCTTGCGGCGTTGCGCGCGGCCGCTGCGCCGGCGGGGAGCGGGGGCTCAGCGCTGGCAGTGGGCGCGCGTGTGTTGCAGCGCCTCAAGGCGGTGGCGCGCGCGCATCACGACGACAGGGTGCTGCGCGCAGAGGCTTCCGCAGACGCTGCTTTTGTTGCTTACGCGGTAACAATATTGATGATGGGATTATAGTATTCAATGGTCCATGGTTGTTTTTTTGAAATGTCAGTATTATAATTGACGTCTGCAGCTAGGTAAGTGGTCGGAGGCGAAGTCTCTGAGCGAGGCGGCGGCTCGCGACGACCCGTACTCGTGCAGCGCCCGCGTGTGCGGCGCGCTTGCAGAGCTGGCGACGGCGCGGGGTGGAGCCGGTGCCGGAGCGGGAGCGGGCGAGGGCGTGCGTGAGGCGGCGGGTGACGCGGCTCGCCGTCTGCTGGCCGCCACACATCTCGACCCCGCAGATCTCGTCGCCATGCATGACTTGGGTAACTGTTTCAAGTTTTTGAATTGAAGACAAAAAGCAGGAGACTCCTTAATTGATCTAA